GACGAATGATAATTGATTTTTCTGCATGATCACATATCGCCTTTTCTCGTCTTTTCACTATGACGTGAAACAGAAAATGCGTTTTTGACATTAGCCTTTCATTTATATTCTTCGAAAATTTCAAAAGAAAAGGCGACAACATAGAAAGCTGTCGACCAAGGATGTCAAAAAGTTTTACATTTGTGATCGACAATGTTGTTTGTTTAGATTCGCAGAGATGGAATTACAACAGACATTTTTCAGCCTACATGGATCCTGCGGGTGGCGGGCGATAATAGATTACGCAAGAAAGCAACTAAATAACAAAAGAAAGAAGAAAATATCAAAAAGAAGAATTATAAAATAAAAAGTGTAAAAGTAAATTTAAAATAAATAAACAAAAGTAGAGGTGAAAGGAAAAAAGTAAGTAGGTACAAGAAAGTAGAAAATCAAAGAAAGAAAGAAAGAAGGAAAAAAAGACAAAAGAAAGAAAGAAAGAAAGAAGGAAAGAAAGAAAGACAAAAGAAAGAAAGAAAGAAAGAAGGAAAGAAAGAAAGAAAGAAGGAAAGAAAGACAAAAGAAAGAAAGAAGGAAAGAAAGACAAAAGAAAGAAAGAAAGGAATGCGAATAAAGCAAAATTAACACAGAAAAAAATAAAGAAGTTTGAGAAGAAAAAAAAAACAAAAGAGAAAAATAATAAGGAATTGAAAAGATAAAAATGAAACGTGTTAAAAAGACGATAAAAGAAGCTCCCACTCCGCCCGAATAAAGGGAAAAGAAACAGATAAAGTGAAAGAGAGAAAGAAGACATGAACAGATTGTTCAGCAATGAGAAAAGGTGGTAGTGTCGCAATGAGAAAAGGTGACAGTGTCATTACAATCCTTATCATCAGTCACACATATTTCACGCTGCTAATTACATTATATAATTTATATAGTTTGAACGAATTGAATCTTGCTGTTTGTTCTGTTTTGTGCTTTTAAAAAATCCTCATCGCTTGAAATTGACCTTTTTTATAACGAGTGTTATAATAATTATTATTCTGGTTTTTAATCTCCTATTTTTACTCCTCTCGTCACAATAATATAAATATGAATTCATTAACAATATATTTATATACGCTACATACTAGACACTAATTAGGATATATAATGGAAATATATATATATATATATATATATATATATATATATATGTACAAAAATGTCCAGTTAGAGTGCCTGGCAGAACTTCTATTATCACATTGTGGAATATCTACTAAAAATATGATGAAAAGAAAAAGAATTTAAATGAAATCGGTTCGATTAAAAAAAAAAATTAATTTAAAATTCCCAGCATTCCTCGTTCACAAATTTAGTCATAACAAATTTAGTCAGATGAAGTCCTAAAGGACCAAATGCGTCCCAAGAAAACTTTTTCCAAATTGTCACTCACACACACACATACACACACACACACACACACACATACATATGTATATATATTTTAGTTATGTTAAAACATTTTCAACGTGTAGACCTAACCCAACTTTAAATACGTATTTGACATCAGCGGCAGATAAAACGTAAAAATCATTTAATATGAATAAATTAGATTTATTATTATTATTATTATTATTATTATTATTATTATTATTATTATTATTTGTGCCTGTTATGTTTCTTACTCTAGAGCTGGGACCAAACTATGGTCCTTACGCCCTATAGGTGAATTTTCATTTAACTGATAGCATTTTTCTTAGTATATAAAATGTTGCCCAGAAGATCCTCCTACTAGTAGGGCGATAATCTGGGCAACCTGTATGTTGATGTTACCTGGGACACTGTTAGTAAAACTGTCCATTCCTTTTCTCACGAGGCCCAGAGCTCCGATTACTATTGGTATTGCCTCAGTCTTCATTCCCCACATCCTGTTAATATCGATCTCCAGGTCCTTGTATTTTGACAATTTCTCGATAATTTTCATGGAGTTGTTTCTCTCAGATGGTACTGCTATGTCAATAAACATACACTTCTTGTCTTTTATGATAATATCAGGTCTGTTGGCTTTTATTTATGTCAGTTTGAATTGGTATGTCCCAGAGGATAACTACATTGTTATTTTGGGTAACTGTATCTGGTTGGTGCTCATACTATCTCTCAGTGGTTTCGATTTTGTGTTTCTTGCATATCTTTCAGTGCACATATGTCGCTACCGTGTTATGTCTGTGGGTATATTTATTTTTTGCTAGTTCCAGATATCCTAAGATAATATGGTCCACAGTTTCATCATATTTTCCGTAGATCCTGCATTTCAGGTTAGTTCCATTCCTGGTTATGTGACAGTGACAGGATCTGGTTGCGAGGCTTTGGTACTGAGCTGCAATAATTAGGCCTTCAGCTTTTAACCCGGCGCTCGTCAGCCACTCATGCATTTTCTGTTGGTCCACGCCTGATCTTTCGTTTTTTTTAGGTATTTGCCATGCAACGCCTTGTTTTCCCAGTTTTTTTTTAGGGGGGTGTAATTTCATTTGGCCAAGTTGTTTTACTCTTTTGGTGCAGATGGTATTCGCTTCGTTTTTTTTTTTTGTTTTTTTTTTGTGGGATTTTAGGTATATTAAGCTGTTTCTTGAAGAGTGCAGCTTTTTTGTTGATAGTGTGGATTTGTTGTTTTACTGTTTATAGGAGAAGCTCATTGGATTTTGTGAGGTATGCTTCCAATCGGATTGTTGTAGTTTTTAGGGTTAATTCGTTGAATTAGACCTCGACCTCCTAAAGCTCGTGGTAAGTACAGCCTATCAACATCTGAGTTCGGATGGTGCACCCTCTTTTTGGTAAGCATTTTTCTTGTCTTGGCGTCCAGTCTTTTACTGTCATTCAGCTTCCATTTAATAATGTTGACACTGTATGTTACTACGGGTATAGCTAAGGTTTTGATAACCTTCATTTTATTGATCTCACTACGTTCGCTTTCTAGTATCAAAAGAAATCTCCTATAATATTCTTTTCGGGTCTTTTTTATTCATATTTGAATTCCGTCTGCTTCATTAATTCCTAAGTATATACAATCTTGATCTATTTCTTTTGATATAAATGTCTTAATCTGTAGTTTTCGTTAGTTTGAAGGTGGCTTTCGATTCTGAACTCCATTCTAATGTCTTCACTGAAGGTTTTGACAATGGTGAGTAGCTTTTTCTACTGGTTGTCATCCTTGGGAAATGTTTTAAGATCATCAATATAGAATAGGTGATTCAGTTTGCCATTCCATGACTTGTATCCGTAGCTACTGTTGTTCACTATTATTATTATTTTCTTCTGTGTCCCAAACCAGAGACATAAGGTCAGAAATGGCTTCGTAACATTTAAATTCAATGATCATCATTTTTGTAAAAATTATTATTGTTGTTATTATTATTAATTTGACGTTTTGTCTCCAAAATCTAATGGCTCAGATGTTAATGACTTCGAGTACATTTGAACTGATAAGACCTTTCTATATAAATTTCTATTATTATTAAAGAATTATATATTATAATTTCTATGTCTTTCATGTATTTTATTCATTTTTAATGTCATATATTTTGTAATGTCGTACTAATTTAGTATAGTTTTGCGCATGTCTTTTTATCCGTTGATGTCACCAAAGACAAATGAAAGAGCGATCAATAATTAATTTTAAAATAAATTTACATTCTACATATTGCCAGATTGTATGCAAGTCAATATTTTCCCAATAAAATCAGTATTAATCGATAGTTGGTAACATTTTCAGTCATTAATTGTATTTATATAAATAATATGTCATGTAAATTTCTGTTTAGAATGTCTATAATGATTAAAAATATTGATAATGACTTGCATTTGAAGTATCAACTTTGATTATGCAAAATATGTGTAACAAACCTGTAAGTGAAAAAATAAAACAACAAAAACATTATTTTAAATGTTAATATAGAATCCTTAACATTTTACAAACCTTCAACAGTCTTTTAATCATTAATTTGTCAGATTATCTACTTTGAATTTGTAATTATTTGAAGTAGTGTTCATTGTTTCCTAGAAATATTCTTTGCTTGAATACTGTTTCCCATTTTGATATAAATATGTTTTACTGATTGACCAGATGTTTCTAATGTATTAACATTTGTGGAGTGGTTAGAAAGCCATTCGATGAATATAGTATCATTTCTTTTGGTAAGGTGGGCAATATGCTTTAGAGAATTTAAAGCAGCATTGAACTGAATGAAATTACTCTTCACATTTAATTTCCTTCGTTGTGAAATGTACTCCTAAAAACGACGACTTGGATTAATGTCTCCATCTTTGCTGTCGATATCATAACGTTTCTGAGGAGACAACAGCAGAAGCAACAATGAAGACCTTAGTCCGAATATAAATGATGTAACTAATGTTAACTCTTCATGCAGAAATTCAGACAGAAATTACGTCTTCTCCAATAATTTATAAATTTATCGTCAGCCATCATTCTCAACTTTAACTTTAAGGGGAACTACAATTTTATTGACAATGATAATTGTCCAATTCATTACCCCCACCCCCAAGGCAAAAACACTGATGATTTTAAGTCGTGCTGGCTAACATTTTCCATGACGAATCCAACCTGAAGCCTGACCAACAATCTATTCAATGTAAATCTACATTCATCACTAAAAATTATGTTGAGAAATCATTTTTCATGTAGTTTTATACCCACCTTAGATGTTACTCATTGTGATGCTTACTTAAAAGATGATTGTTGCTTTCGTGTTTTTAGCTAATGTTTTTTTTTAATATTCCGTAATATAATCTCAATACCATCTTCAAATATTTCCTTGATTGTAAAACAAATCTTCTTCCTTGTTATCTTTTTAATTCTTCTTAAATACCATTTTATCTTTTTGCCAATGGTTCTGTGGCTTCTGTTCAACTTTTTCGCCTTACGGCCACATCACGTTAAAATACCAGTCGAGCCTGGTCAGTACCTAGGTACTGTAAGCTTGTATGTACGGGTGGTATGATGGACGTAAGTCCACATCACCTTGATCCCCGGTTCCCATACGATCACCGAAGTTAAGCAACGTCGAGCCTGGTCAGTACTTTGATAGGTGACCGCACGGGAATATCAACTGTTGTAAACTTGGATGTGCCGGTGGTGTAATGGTTAATACCTCAGAATTATTAATTGGAGGGCAGAGTTCCAATTCAGTTCAGTTCGTTATAGTCACTTACGCGCAAGTACTCTTGGGAAAAGTATGAATTCATTTCTTTTCTCCCAGATATAAAACTTGTATCACTAAATCATTATTCCCCCCCCCCTGCAAAAATTCTTATAATCTAAAACTATTTTCTGGCTTTAAATAAAGGATTGATAAGCCGTAGAAAATGAATCAATCAAATCTGCTCAGCTTTTCAAAATTTTCAAATATATGTTCCCATCATTTTACAACTTTACAATATCTTGTTCGTCTTGTTTCAGATTCTATCTTCCTTATGAGCCATGAAAATGTGTCTATATATGAAATTAAAAAGTAATATCAATAACTATTCTGTTGTATATATTTATGAACAATTCTCGAAGATACTGTAAATATTTGTCATAAAAAGTAGGTAATATGAGCTGAAATTTACACGATAAATTTGCCATATAAAGATAAGCATATCCTAAAACTTTAGTATCAATTTTTTCTGAGTTGAATTGCATAATCAAATCTAATTTTGTTTATATAAATTGTGTTATCTATTCGAAATTCAATAAGTTCAATAAGATTTCAACAAATCTTTAAAATAAAATCAACAAGTTCATTGGACTTCATTCGGCCGGCAAGGAAAATTTAATTAACTTTTTTATTAAGTTTTTCCAGAATCCTTACGTTTTCCATTTTGTAGGTGTAAGGGAATACAAAAGATTTTCCATAACTTTTATTGCCCCAAGTGCTTTCGGCCACTTCTATAGCCATTTTCAACATTTGTTTAACTGTGGATATGGAGTATTAAAAATTTTAAAAAAAATAGAAAGAGTCTCAGGCGAATTCCAGCCGCACGCAACACTTGAAGGTTCGGAATAAATTATGGACGATTTTTGGACAATTTTTATACTCACTTACTCCTACAAAAGGGAAAAAAACATAAAGATTCTGTAAAAAAAAAAAACATCTTCAGATATTTTAAAATTAATTAAATCTTCCTTGTCGGCCGTATATATATATATATATATATATATATATATATATATATATATATATATATATATATATATATATATATATATATATATATATATATATATATATATATATATATATCCGTTATATATATTATATATATATATGTGTGTGTGTGTGTGTAAATATATAGAAAATAGGAAAGAACTCGTTAGGTAAATAATCCGAAGTTCTTTAGTATTTTTGTTTTTATTTTTTAAAAACAGTGCTCGATACAAAAGTAGAGCCTAAATATAATTATTTATTTAAAATTATGATTCCTCCGCTACATAAGAGTTCTCATGTTTCAAAAACAAGTGGCGAAAACTTCAGTATAATTATTAGAATTAAATTGAATTAAAGTAAAATTTCGCTTGAAGATGAAACAGAACATGGTATTTTAATTCAATTAATTCTAATAATTATATTGAAGTTTTCAGCTCTTGTTTTTGAAACATGAGAACTCTTATGTAGTAGAGTATTAATTTTAAATAAATAATTATATATATATATATATGTGTGTGTGTGTGTGTGTGTGTGTGTGTGTGTGTGTGTGTGTGTGTATATATATATATATATATATGTGTGTGTGTATGTATGTATTCTTTGAAATAAAAACATTCAAAATATTAATCAAACTACGTCAGAAATAAAATCATTAATGTTTATTTTTAATAAAACTTTTCAATATTATTAGTTGTATTTAAAATGCAATATTAATGTTAATATTAATCATTTTCTTGTTTTAATTTTAGCTCTAAGTAGCAATTGTTTTAAACAATCAATACATCTAGGATTTCTTTACAAAAGTAAAGAAATCGATGCGTATATATTGATATTTTGTAGTTAATTTTACACAAATATCTTAAATGTTAATTAAAATAAGTCAAAAGAAATTAGTTTGAGGTTTCATCGCGAATAGCTAGGCTCGTTATTATAAACTAATGTCTTGTTTTTTGTTTGAAAGCAGATCAAAAGAATTTCCATATAATCAGATAAGGTGTGTCTGCAAAATTAAGCCTTCAGGAATATCATTCAGATATGAAAAAACTTACATGCTAAAGCTGAGAACACTGTCTACTTAGATTTTGTTAAAGTTCTAACTTTATCTCTCCAAGGGTGACCAGTTGTTCAGGTTAGATCTTTTATTTTTTATTTTTTATTTTTTTCAGTCAGTCTATCTGGACAAATATAAAATGGCGTCAGTGATTACTGTCAGGAAGAGAAAGGAATGAGCAGATGGCGTGCAAGTTAGAAAATGTCCATTATCCTCAGGCTATTTTACTGTGCCGTTCTCTGTCCGGGCGATGGCCTCTCAGCAGGGGGAGTCAAGCAGAAATACAAAAGACGTCTTCTTCACTCAGTAGCCTGTTTGTCTGTAATTCAGTCTGATGTCTGTCCGTCAGTCTCGCTGCATGATTGATCCTGTACACAGGGATTGTGTCATTATTGCGTAAACGGAACGAGTGGTTAAGTCGTATGAAATAACGTAATATATTTGCACATACTTTTAGACACACACTCACACATACGCGCGCGCACACGCAAACACACACACATATGTATATAATTTATTTCCACATAAAAACATAGAAGGAAAAAATAACCTCGTTCGATAGAGAAAGTTTTCAGATCTGGTTTTGTAAGTAATAAAAATGGTTGTAACTACTGTCATAATTTTGTAACTTTTGTCATAATTTCACCCACTTCCTCATATAAATGGATAATTCGCAGATGATTATTTGCTATATTCCTTCATGACATAAGATTTAACACTGACTTCTTATGGTTAGCTGTTGGAAAAATGACTTTCTTTTCGGGTTAGATTCTTAAATCTAAATCTCTCTGAAGAGATAATTCGTTAAGTGAAATGATTTAACATTGAGTGGTCAGTGTAAAGCGTGCACACCTAATTTTCTCCATATCAAATGGAAAGAGATTATGTTTTCCTGCCTTTAAAAACATTAAAATTACCAACCATACTCAGATGTCTTCATTCACTAAGTTGAAACTACAACACCTTCTTCAATGTTTTCGTTAAACTTTGTCACAGAAATCTTCTAAGTAAAGATGGAAGAATCCTAATGAAAAAAACGATGTAAAATGGAAAACGGCCTTGCAAGTGTTGTCAATTTTTTTTAAACAAGGTACAATTTTTTTTCCTTTCTTTTGCAAAAAAATTACAATGTTGAAAGGAGTTGAAATCTCCTTGCCTCTGTAATAAATACTAAAGAACGTTTATAAATGATGTTAATATATTGAAATATAAACTTGAAAGTCTTTTTCAATTGATTTTCTCTTCAGAATCTGAAATAAAAATATGAATTTTCTTGTACTGAAAGGGTTTAAATATACATTTCTTCCTCTGTGTCATGTCACTTCGGAATGTCGGCAATCATCACCCTCGAAAACTTCTTATCCTTAGTAGATATTAGTAGGTTTTGTCTTTTAACTATCCCTTATAGTCTCTGTTTTGCCATCCATTTATACTACATTTAATTTATTGTGTGATTATTATATTCTCCAAGCCATCTTTCCTCGTCTTGTGTCTTAAAAGTTTCAAATCTCTCTTTCTGATTATAAGTATAATTGTCTTTTCTGTCTACATTTTCTTTGAAACTTTCTTGTTACTTACATGTTCAGTCCATGGTATTTTTAATAACCTTCTGTAGAGTCACATTTTTGTTGTTCTTTTTCCACCTGTGAGATTGTCCAGGACTCACTGCTATAGATGAGCACTGATATTACATAACAGATTCTTTCTTGCTTTCTAACGAAATATTCCTGTTTTTTTAATACTTTGCTGAGTTTTTGAAAGACATCTTTCGCTATTCCAATTCGCTTTCGGAATTCGGTGACACATATCTTGAGGAGGCACGGTGGCGTAATGGATAGCGGCTTGGATTGAAGAATCATTACATCCACTTACGTGCTAATATCCTTGGGAGAAGTATGAATCCTCTTCTCCCCCCAGCTATGGGTAAATAGTAGACCCGGTTCTATAGCTTTGGATGGCAACTGGTCTACTGCAGAAAGAAATGGCAACCTAATGCGGAAAAAATCTGCCTCGTCAGTCATGTATCGAAAGATACATAATCACCTAAGCGTGTATCACACATGACACATAACTGACTGACTATCTTCGCAGATATTTAAAATTTCTTTAATTTTGGTATCTCCAATTCCTAATTCGCTGAACCTCTTGCTGACACCCAGACATTCTGTCTTCAAAGGAATGCACTTTACTTCATCTCGAATATCGTCATCATCATGCTTATCAGTTCGCTTTGGCCATTACATTGTTGCAGAAAATATGAATGACTGTTTTGACTAATCCAAAACCCTGAAGATTTCCTTTTCTTTTATTAAAAAAAGATCTTTCTTTCTTTCTTTTATCTTATTTTGGTTTATTAATACAGACTTGTCAGTTTTCCGTATTTTATTCTACCACCAGAGAACATATTACAAAAAGAATATCACTTCAAAAATTAAAATAGAAAATTATTTTTTGATTATTATTTACTTTTCACTTTTTAATAAATCTAAAAATTTTACTCACTTCTGTCAAATAAATGTTAAATAAATGATAAAAGTAATTCCGAAAATATATGTGTTGCTAAACAATATTTTAATTAATAATCTTTATTATATAAACGAATGATGCTTAATATTTCGATAATTATTTCAAGTACCTTTACTTTACAAGTAAATATATCAAATTCTATTAATGCTTATTAATATTTTCGTTATTTAAATAATAGCGTAGTAAGAAACGATAACATTATTAACAGTAAAAATATATTTTAATGAACAAAATGGTTGCTTTTGAATTTAATGAAAGCAAGAAAAAATTATTTCTTTCTTATTCTGAAATTTTATAACTAGGAACTTTAAACTGAAAATTAGGATTTTGGGTTTCGCTTTATTCCTTGAGG